TGAATCAACATTGAAGTTCTTTTCACAACTCCCATGCTTTTATACTTCAGAATAAAACCCCCCAAGTCTTGTGTGCTTTTATCTGCCTGAAAAACACAGATTACTGTCTCTCCCCACTCTGCAAAAATATTAATAAAGAAATAAACACACTAACTCAAATGTGCGAACCACTAAATTATGAATATGGAAATCACAGGGCAAAGGGAAAGAATTCAAGCAGAGAAAACAGAAATAGCTGGACCAAAGCAGGATAGGTGACAAGACCTGTCATCAAAAGAAACTGCTAACAGAAGTATTTCCCACCCCTCCACCACCCATGCCACCACTACCCCCACAGTCCTAAGAATAGAGAAACAGGTGAAATGAAAATAACACTGGGTATACCACCACGCATTTAGTTCTCATTAACTCTTCAAAGCACCCTTATATGAGCTAAAAAAACTATAGTCAGAACAAATTAAAGCAACTGACACAAACCTAGGGCAACCATGATGCCTAGTCTTGTTCCATTAGGCATTATAAACACTCAAATTGATAATGTATGTGCAGGAGAGTCAAATGAGAAGTTGCTTGTAACTAGAGACAACTAGCCACGATGTTCTAGAATGTCCCAAGAACTACCTGGCTTCCCTGAGGGTTCAGGGATCAAAATTCCCACACAACCAGAACTCCCTCCTGGGTAGAGCTGAGGAATCTACTGCATGATTTCAAAGGTGTTTCATTTTTCATTTCATTTTACCATGGCTTCTCAGTACTGCACCCAGATCAGCCCATAGCTAATTCTTAAAAGGAGAACACACTTCTCCAAGACTTGGACTACATCCTGTCTGTAGGTCCTCTGAAGCATGGGCCCTTTACTGCAAAAAGAACTATTGTTCTACTACCAAAAAAAATTATGAAAGACTAAGTTCGCTTTTCTTATTTAAAAAAAAAACAGGCCTACCCTCTTGCTCTCATGCCAGAAATTCCCTCTAAAGGCAACAAAGGCAGTCCTACCAGTAGGCTTAAAATGAAAACTACTAATTAAAGGAACACATCAAACTCATTCATATTAGGAGTGTTATTAGTCAAGTAAAGATGGATGACTGACATCAGATTCTACCCTAATTTGTAAGGAGAAAGCTGAAAAAGGCATGTATTCATTCAATATCACAGGATGTGTCTGGGATCCCTAAAGCAAAGAATGTTGAAGAAACCTGAAAATATGTTTAAACCTAGTAGGTTCATATGTTTATGAACTCTCTGAAATGAAATGCAAAATGTGGGAATGTACAGTTGAATATTATTGTAAGGGAATTGGGGAAGATTGGGAAATTATCAGAGGGTCAGGACAAAAGGTATAAAATACTGCTGTAGAGAAGTCCACATCAACTCAGGCATCAATACCCTAGTATCATATTTAGGCCTTTGTTATTATCTTCTAGAGGAGGAATGGGTCAAGAACCTATTTATAAAAGTAAAGTTTTATTAGAATAGAGTTATGACCACTTGACCAGGTATTGTCTATGACTACAATGGCAGCAACCGCAAAGAGACTATGGCCCACAAGGCCAAAAATATTTACTGTCTGGCCCTTTAGAGAAAAAGCTAGTGAACTCCTATTCTCTACAAAAGCAGCCTGGAATGAAAAAGTCACCCTTAACTACCATCCACAGACTAACAGTGGCGGTTTAAGAAAAGGCCTATTTCAATTAAGCAAGAGAAAACATACATTTCTAAATTTTTATAAACCACTTTAAGTTTTATTCATTTATACAGTTCTGCTTAACACTTTGGACAGCTACTACTATAAAACAGTTCATTGTGTGTCTCATTACATAAATAATACCAGTTATTTTGATAAAGGTTAAAAACTAAGTTATCCTGCTTCATGACCATATTCTCATTCCCACTGTCCACTAAAATATGGTCTCAAAGTGTTTTAGGGTGTTTAGAATTAAATACTATACAACACCTAGGAACAATCAAACTACTAATTTGCCAAGCAAAATCAGTAGTTTAGACATTTTATAACTAAGAGGAAATGGTATAAGCTTGAAAATTCTGAGCTGCTATTATATTCTACAAATGCTATACTTGATTACCATTAGATAACCAAATGTTATTCACCAGCATTCTCCATGGATGAATAAGATTAGGGGAAGAGGAAGAACTGAAACCTCAGATGTGTACAGCAATGTCTCTTAGAAAATTTTGCTGTATAGTTATAGAAATGCAGATAAAGTAATTTCTAATAAATCAATTCAGAATAAACAGTAATCACACATTCTCTAGAACTACAATAGTTTGCTACCATGTTTTATAGATGATGTAGTGACATACCTGCTAACATAAACCTCAAACACATATTTGAAGGGACAAATATAATAATTTGAATGAAACCATGAATGGGAAAGGAGTACTACTTTGTGCAGCTGTGGCTACAATGCAAATTTTTTAAAACTCAAAACCTATTTAAAAAAAAAATCAAAGGAATTTTAGTAAAACTTCACTAAATGCTGAATAATTGTTTGTAATAAACCAGAGAACAAAACTGTTAATTACAACCACCAGAAGATTGGGAGTGGGACTGGAGTCATGAGATTAAATACTTATTTATACAAACTGCTCTGCACTCTGATTATTTAAAACTACAATTCTGATTGAATTTATAAGATATGTCAGTGATACTGGGCTCAAAGCTCCCCTCCTCCACCAGTGCGCGGCCACCATACCAGTCGTGCTTTTCCTCATTCTTGGAGTAAGCAGGATTTTACCGAGCTGGAAAGGAACTCTACAATTTGCCCTGCCAGGAAAACGCATTACTGGTAAAGGAATGAAGGGGATCGGGTATTACCTAAATAAATAAACGAATACACATTTATGCATCTGTTCCCTGGAAACCAAGGCAGTCTTTACTTCTTAAATTTATTTGTTCTAATTCATTAGATTCCCATATCCCCAGATGACTGTGAAAACGTCTAATAATTTGCTCTCTCACGCTTCTTGGTTTTCAGTTTCTGATAATTTCAGAGTAAAACCCCGATGAGACAGACTGTATTCAGTCAGCTTCATTTCTGGTCTACTATGAAGTTTTAGTGGAAATGGTAGTATAAGGTTTAGCAGAATCAGGAAAGCAGAGGCACAGAGAACGCAATGGACGCTAGAGCCCCCTCCCCACTGATTTTTACTTACTGATTTCACAAGACCTAGCCCCAGCCTGCTTCCCTCCTCCCGCCCACATCCTTGTAGGAGGAACTTGCTCGAGGTTCCAAGTCCAGGGCCGGGATAGGAAGTACCCGCCCTCCCAAGCCCAGAGCCTGGTGTCTCCGCCGCTCATTGGCGGCGGAAGCCGTCAGTACTGCGGAGGGCAGGGTCTCCCGCTACAGAGAGGAATCCCCCCAACCCCCACCCCAAAAAAGCTACCTTCGCCTTCTTATTTCGCTGGGCCTCCTGTGACAACCCCCACATATGCTCTGCCCTTTGGCTTCTCCAAGAGGCAAAGCTTTTTCAGAGTTCCAACAGCTCTCCCCCACTCTGGCAAGCTCCCAGTCCAGGACCAAATAGAGGATGCTGCGGTTTTAGGGGTGAAGCCAACCACGGACTGGGTCTCCCAGAGTGGAGCAGAGGGCTCCTTCCTCTGAAAACGAAATAGCTGTTCAGGTTGTATGTTAGCGATTCAAGTGCACTGGCTTTCACCAAGGATACTGGCATCCATTCAGCAAGAAATGCCACAACGCCCTACAAGGTGCACTGTACCCCTTGTCCGTTTTCGGGGTTTTCTGGTTATCTCAAACATACTGTAAGCTTTTTGAATGCAAGTATTATGCCATTCTTCGATCACACTAGCAGCAGTTCATTACCCTGAACAGAATAAATTTACAACACATACTCTGAATGCCATCGATCAGGACATGTTTCTGTGGCCTGTATAAAACTGAATACTCCGTAAAACTGCAAAGTCTTTGAAAAAGGAATTCGATGCAGTGGTTCTGATTACGACGGGAACATAGTGCTCTAGAAACTGAGGGCATCTGATGGTTTTACAATTTCATCCTTTAAGATTAGTAATCTCGAAGAAAGAAGAAAGGTCATTTCATTTCTGTAACGAACTTCCAACTTTCAGTTCGGTCGGGAGAACTACTAAAGTTCAGGCGCCGATATCTTACCTTAAAATATGTATATTCCTGGCATTACACCTAGAAAGGACTACAGCTATGTGAGTACACAACTCATCTGTTGATACATCATCTCCCAAAGCCTACGGGAAGAAAGAGGCATCGGGGATTCTTTAAATCACCTGCAGCAGCATCCTGTAGACTGGCACTGCCACTATTCTGGGGCTCACTTTTCTAAGTTTTCCTTTGTCTCTGTGCCCTCACATTTCAATTTCTTTTCCATTGCTACCATGATCACTAACGCTCGCTTTTGCCTCATGATTCCTCTTTCTGACATTTCCTAAACCTGGGTCTCTATAAAGTTCTTTATCCTACAGGTCTCTCAACCTCCGCGTATTTCCCCCGCCACTTGGGACTGTCACTGCTGACTCCCACCACCCAGCCGCACTCTTGCAGAGTTCACTTTTCTAAGTTGGGCTGCGGCGGAATCCTGACAGCTGGATTCATCCAATCAGCGACGGGTAAATAAGCGAGGTGGCCAATGAGCCACCTCGGAAGGCGGGTCTTCGCTTAAGTTCCTCGGGTCCCGAAACCAAAGACCTGTTGCAGCAGCAGCCGCCGTGGCCGCGGAGTTTCTTAGTTACGGCGGTGCCGGCCGCGACCTCAGGCCGCTGGAGCCAGGGCCAGGCATGCTGTTGATGCCGCCGGCTCCCACGACGGCCACCGAGAGGGTCGGACGCCCGCCCGGCTCCATCGCGGCACGCCCCGCCCCACCTACCCCGGGTCGGGGATCCCTAGGCCGCCGCGCGGTCCCGACCTCCCCCTCCCTGCCCACTCCCGCGTGCAGTTCCACCGCCCCAGGGCCTCCGCGTTCGGGCACCCGAGCCCCAGATGGCAACTCACCAGGAAGTTGAGAGGTTTCCGTTCTCTCGCCCTCGAAGGACCGGGAGCGAACGGTCAGCTTGGCCAGGCGCCGCCGCGGAAAGGCCCGCTGGGCCGGGGACTGAGGCTGCGAGGCCCCGAGCCGATCAGCCACCTCCCGCCGCGCCGCCTTCGCGGACGCTGCAGGCGCGGGCACCCCCCTGCGCACGGCGAGGCGCGTCCCGAGTGCGAGCCTAGCGGCGGCCCATCCTCCTGTGGCTCCCGCACCTCCTCCCGCGGCCGCTGCTGTCAGGAGTGTAAACATCCCGGCATCCCCGGGGAGGGGGCGTGGCCGGGGCGTGGTCAACGCTGGCCCCGCCCCCTTCTCTGCGCCGCTCTCTGGCCAGAGGCCGCGCGCGCCCAGCGCAGGAAGCGTGCGAATGTCCTGGCTGGAGACCGAGACCCATGCTGAGGCCTCTGCAAAGGCATTCTGCCCCCTGGCTCCTCTTCTCCGGCTTTGACCAACTTTCCATCCAGCCAGGGGAAGGCTGCATGGAAAGAACTTAGGGTTTCCTCATTTATATTTCAGTGCCACCTCTTGGGAGCTGTGAACCTACTAGGTGATGTCCCCATTCTTCTGAATCACAGAGTTTTGATCCCATCCTCTTTTACCAAGTCATTTAAGCTGCCTCAGGTTTATGCTAGCGCAGGGAAGTGAGGGAAAGAGGCGTTTTCCTGTGTCTGGCTAAGCAAATCTTTTATCTAAGAGTCCCAGCACAGACAATTCTTTTTAAGACCTTTCTAAAAGGTGAATTCCCTGTAGACTACGGAGGATCTTTGAAGCACATATATATTTATGTAATGATTTTTTATATACATACATGGGTGAATAAACACATTTCAGATGTCACATATTTATAACATATGTGAATATCTCCCCAGAAATCTAGGACATGGAACTGCCAAAACAATGCCTCCAATCCAACTGCTGCACTCACCAGCCATGAGCCCCTGCAGGAGATGGCTAGGAGGCAATATGGAGTCAGTCCTGCCTGGATTCTAAGCTCTACTTAGGAATTAATTTGCCTGGTTGCAAGTTATTTAATCTCTCCAGGTTCTCTGTATCATTGCCTGTAAGAGTCATAATTCCTATCTCGAGGACTACATGTAGAATTAAATGACTTAAAGCAAAGTGCTTAAGAACACAGACTGGCATATGAGAAGTGTTCATTTAATAATAGTTGCTCTTATTCCTAGCTCTTTCATTGTTTTAATTTCCCTGCCAAAGGAAATAGAGCCAAGAATGCACAAATTGTACCTCAAGCATTTAAAGTGTTAAAACAAGGTAATTAAGATTTGGAAAGTTTAATTTAAAAAAGGAAAATCATTCTGGATCTCAGGAGGAGACATTGACTCAAGTGGCTTAAGAAATATTCATAAGTGTGCTAAATAATGTTCTAAGAGATGTGGATGCCACCATGTACCAAGCAGTAAAGTCCCTGTAAAACTTACACTATACAGAGACAGGCAAATAATAATAATCCTACATGTCAGAGCGTGAGTCATAGTAAAAGCTGGCAGGGGAAAGTGCCATGTTAAATCTGTTTACTGGGAAGCCACTCTGATATGTGAGTAGAGACCTGAAGAAGTGAGAAAGTGGACCCTGTGACCATCCAACAGAGCATTTTATACAGAGAGAACAGCAAATGCAAAAACCCTAGGTAGAAGTTGGTTTGACATGTCTGAAAAATGACCAAGAGGTCAGTGTAGCTAGAATCCAGTGAGCAAATAGAGAGCAGCTGATGAAATCTGAAGGGGGTATGGTATACAAGAAGGGGATAGATGTAGAACTTTGTAACCTGAAGTTTATTCTGAATGAAGTAGAGAGCTTTTAAAGTGGTCAAATCTGACTGACAGAGAGGACAACTGCAAAATAGGAACAACAATAATGACCCAGGTAAAATGTATTTATTATTTAGACAAGAGTGCTGATGGAAGAGGAAATAAGAACTGCCAGATTTCAGATATATTTCTCAGCTACAGCCAATAAGATTTGCCGCAGTATTAAATGTAGGCTACTAAAGGAGATAAGGGTGAAGCCAAATGAAGTTGGCATTTGAACTAGATGAATTAGGTGGGTCACACCAAGACAAACCAGTCAATCAAATAGGTACAATGCCACTTGAATCATGCATAGGAGCACCTTGCAGAAAAAATAACCAGATATCCTCAAATTAAATACAATTCAACCTGAGACTAGAAGCATAGTTTTTCTTAGTATATATTGCATTACCTTTCAGAAAGTGTAGCTTGATAGGTAGTCAATAAAACTGCCCAGCTTAAACTACAGATTCATCTACAGACTAAATATTCCACTGACATAAGCAAAACATGTAAGATTTATGAACACTGACTGACACTCAAAGGATCAAAATTGAATTTATGAAGTTATAATGGCTGTGAAGACTTTGTCTAGGAAGAATCTTTTCAGTGGCTAGATGTGGTGTCCAGTGTTGAAATAATCTGATTATCTCCAGTTTCTTCACTTTTAAATACTATACCTAACAGTAAAACAATGTTTCAAAGATTGGGGAGGCTGTCAAAAGTGAATCCACTGCATTTTCTCTTTGAAACTTTGCATCACTCTTTTTGTGGGTAGGGAAAGTGATTCCCAGCACCAGATTTCCTGGCTTGCAGAAAATGCGAATGGAAAATCAGAGAGGCTTGCCCAAAGAGGCTCCTCTGGTTCAGGGAACATAAGTGCAGAAGCCTGCTTTAACTGCTTTTCGGTTCGTTGCCCCACCATACTTGCTCCAAAGATGCTGACTTGGCTCCATGATATGCATTAATTATAGTCCTTTCTACAAACTACTTTGTGTTTATAACCATGCAATACATATCATTAAGAATCAGATTAACTTTGCCGGAAATGAAATTTGGTTATCATACTTAAAATCTCTCAGTTTGCACCAAGTCTTCATGGGTTTTTGTTCATATAACCCATATGCTGGCTCCATACAAGTAAAAAATTAGAGGTAGTATTGATTATTAAAGTCATTTTCTCTCCACAAACCACCATACAACTAGGAACCAGATTCTGTGTAAATACAATTCCTCTGTAAGTAGAGAAGCATATTAGAAAAATGTTTTCCTAAAGAAAAGTGATGAAGTCATATTAAAAATAATTCTCCTTTGAGAGCGATCCTAGCCACTAGGGTAGACAAGAGCGGTCTAGCCTTCTTGACTCAAACATACTGCTGGCAACAGGTGCATTTAAAAAGCTACTAGTAATATTGGCAGTCACTGAATTTGGCAGCTAAATAGTGATGAGCCTTAGTCAAGCTGTTGAAATGTCTGGACTAAAGTGGGCCAAGAAAAGGAAGTCAAAATGCAGACTGCAGACAACCCGAGGGAGATCACTTTTCTCTGGCCCTGGCTTTAGTCACTGTACAGTGTCAGAAAATAAATATCTTCCTTTGAAAACACCCATGAAAAATATTACGAAGTTTCTTTTTCAGATTTAATGGCCCCTGACAAATTAATTATTAATGGATCATGCAGATGAACTTGACATTAAAAAGACTGAAATCAGACTAAATTTTACCATTACATCAATTCCTTAGAATCCAGAATCACAGAAAGACAACCCAGCTATTTCTCAATTATCTACTTACGGTATTTTGAGAATATAGTTCATAGTTAAAAATAGTGGCATATCAACAGTGGCATTTTCCCAGCTCTTTGCAGTAGTTACAAAACTGAAGAAACATTTTAATATGCTATAGATATAATTTATGTGTAATATATATGTAAGGTAGGGAAGTTATATATTTTATTTTTATTGTTGCAAAACAGTAAAGAAGCAGCACAACTAGCAGTTTATGCTTATATCATGATTCTTCTGTTCAACAGAATTCATCTGAATTTATGTTTCTTGCCTCTTACTATAAAAGCCAAAGGGTCAATATGCAGTGGGTCGTAAGTCAGAGCAATGCAGGAAATATATTCAGAGATTAGTTTCCTTTCCATTCTTGTACACTCTATCCTTGATGTGGAGCCAGACTGTGAAGCCATTTCACAAGACATAATTTCCTCATCAGTCATGGTATTTGTCAGTCCCTACCAAGAACCTCTCAATTATCTGTGCTGGCAGAGAACTGAGGTAACACAGTCATCAAAGCTCAAAGAATTTTTAAATTGCAGGTTTCATTGGAATATTTCATATGTGTATATATGTATATGTATGTACTTATAAAAAGAATGCTAAATACCCTGTAATTTTACAAAGCCAAAAGGAGATATCTCAAAGAGTTGTGTTTCACTTTCCCGTTCTGTCTCCATCTACCTCTTCTTACAGGTATACTTCTGTGTCTTCATCTACTTTTTCTCACAAGTCTACTTCTGTGCCTTGCACTCTGACCTTGGGACATACCGGATCCACTCAGACCTGAATACTAAAATCAGTGGTCTATTTCCTAACAGGAAAGAAAATGGAAAATAGCAAGCATTTCTGTTGACTTTTAGTATTTCCTCATAGTTCCATTGAGAGGCTACTCTCAGGTTACAGAACCAAAAGTCTGTCCCTAGTACAGTCAGTACAGTGCCAGAGGTGAAAAGTTACAATCAGTTTTGTTCCATCTAACTTTCTTTGTTCATACTTAAGTATTAATTGTTTACAATGTACACTTCTTCAATCTTTTTCTTCAGCTATTCTACTTAATGGCAGAAAGAGCTCAGTAATTTTTTTTTCAGTTCAATTGTAGTGTTAATGTTCAAACTATTTGGAAATAGAGGGAGTGAGTAAAATCAGATTTGGAATGATGCCACATCAAATCCAAAGTTATGCTAAGGTAGGCACTAAGCCTAACCAATCATAAGCAACCTCAACATCCTCCAGAGTCCTGCCACTGAATTTATCATTAGACAACATCCAAATTATGGAGACATTCTATCTCTTTAATCACTGTAACACCAGCCTTTCCATCCAAAAGGTAGCAGTATGTAGGATAGGGAACACTGGAATAAGACTTTTATAAAACAGTGTTGTTTCCAAAACTTGAAGATTTGGGAGGAAAGTCAAGAGATGTGATTTAAAACTTCATAAGAGCTAGCACTTTTAAAAGGTAAGGGCAAGAAAGAATCCTTAAATCCATACACCATTCAAGTACTCGTGAAGGCAAGCCAATATTTATCTACAAGCTTATGGGATAATCTATTCTTTAGAAGGGTACAAGGCAAACAGTAGAATGGCACTCCATGGGAACTGCAAACAATTCAAATGAACAGTATTGTTACATGTGCCCATCAGTGTTATTTA